ACAGCCACCCAGCACCCCTTCCTCCGTGCACTGGTACACCATGGAAACGGGGTTCACGCTGTTCGCAGCCCTTCCAACAGTCACGCGTGTACACCGTCCTTACGTGCGTACGTAAAAGAGGCGGTGTGCGTGCGTGCACGCGGCTCACGTCCAGAAGACAGAAGGAAACGGGGGATCTAGGAAGAGGAGACGCGAGCGTCGCGGATCGCGTTCCTTCACGCCTCAGGTCCTCCGGAGAATTCTTTTTAATTTCGCATCTGTGCATCGTCGAAAGATTCGCTCGATGCGAACAGACGCGTCAAAGCCGTTTCTCTGTTTTCTATCGTTCCCGTCGAAACTCCTCCGTCGAATCAATGCGATTAGACGATTCCCAATAGTTGGAGGAAGGTTGCGAAAGGTTCAACGACTCCTGGCGCAAGGTCGTTGAACCGATGCACTCGTCTTCTATTTTTACTTGAGAATCTGCCGCGGCGTTTTCACGCGACTCATTTTAATGGCCGATCGAGTCTATCGAGGTTCGGGGTCCCAATTAACGTATCTAAATATAACCAACGACGCTCGAGTGATCGTAATCGTGAACTGGGTTGTCGAGACAGGTGTGTGTCAAACGGTGACCAGATTCTGGCCGTCGTATTCGATTTAATCGCTCGAATCTGATTTTCTCCGTCTACCTCCGACACCTCTCTGGTCGAGTTCGAAGTCGGACGATCGCGAGAGGATCGCGTCTAGCCCGCTAATAAATTCTTCGTTCGTGCGATGTTCACGAGACGGAAGAATAGGCTTTGCCACCCGCTGGAATTTAGGACGGGCTCTCATTCTTGTCCGTCGTTTCTGGGTACACCTTGAAACGTGTCGCAGGACGGGGGGGGGGATCCCACTTAAAGGACATAGATTCTGCCAGCATCCCGTGGGCGTTGCGTTCTATTGTATTGGGACGACGTTCCTCCGCGGCGGGACGATTATTCACGAGGGAACACGATGGCCGTAACGTTGAAAAAAGGCCACGAAAGACGCTCGGCGTCCGTTCGGTTTCGGGTCTTCGTATGACCCGTCTCGAGTTGCGAACATGTGTCGCGCTCGGAACAGCCGGGGTATTCTTCAATTTTGCATCGTCCTCCCGCATTTTCGATGCTTCTCTCGCGATCGGCTTCTCCTTCCGCGCTCGTGGACCGTCACATGGCGCGACGGTACTTACCACTCCACCGTTCGGCAGGTGCGCGTCGCGTCATTTCGGCGACGGGACAGATGGACTCGACGCGCTCTGGCCGCTTCCTGCGTCGCTTTCTCGTTCTCCGCGTGGACGGATGTGCCCGAAACCGAAACCCGGGAAGAATCGCTGCGTCGACGAAGCCGTTTGGTAACTCCAGTTCTCACGAAACGTCCTTCGTACGATTTAGTCACGACGGCCGTTGAGAAGTCGTGTCGCTCTCGGTCCTTGTCGCGCGGAGATTAATCTGCGGCGGGGTTTCGCGATGGGTGGTCCCGAGACTTTGCAGAGGGCTCCGTGTCGTCGTATCGAAATAAATCCGGCCCCTGCCCTCCAACTCGTCCCCTGGCTCGCGTTCGGTTAAATTTGAAATCGACCAAACGATACATTGGCCTCTTTGAAGTTTTTTCGGTCGTTCAACGAACCGCGAGCCTTCGTTCGCCAAGCCGGTATATTTAGACGTTTCTCTACTTCTCTCCGGTCAGTCTTTTCGACGAGGTTCGCTCTCATTTCTGTGCGCGTTCCCTCCCGCGACGGGAACAAAAAGACATCCGACGAGAGTCGAACGATGATCGTCACGCGTTACACACGCGAGGATCGATCGATCGATCGATCGTTCGTTCGTTCGTCGGCAGTGAGAGACCGTTGAACGTGTTTCTACGCATACACGGTTTCCTGCTGTCACGTTGCCGTATTTATAGTTTTCGACCGATCGTCTGGCCGCGACCGGAAACCGGTCGATTATATTTAGAAGAAAAGCTCGATCGAACGTGGAACAACGCAACGCGAATGTGCGCGCATCTCTCAGGGTGTGTATCCTCGTCGAGAGGCCGCGAATCGATTCCGATCCTCTTTCAAAAGACTCGCATGGTCAATTAAGGAAAGGGAGAGCGCCTGGCGCAATTACGTAGATCAGACGGCGGCGGTGGTTCGCGTTAAAGACGATGAAACGGGCGTGACCACGGGCAGCCGGGCCAGATGTTGTATACGGTGCCTCGGTCCCAGCCTGCCTCCGAAGAGAGAGATCTCGCAAGGTCACTTTTTGTGGCCACGCCGACCTCGGACGGAACGGGAGAAGGAGGAGGCCGAAGATGGGCCACCGGACGTGGATCGGCCGCGATTTTTCTTCCCCTACCGGACGTTCATCGCGCGATCAAATCCTCTTCGGCTCGCCGAAATGTTTTACGATCTCGAAACGAGATTCGCGTCGATTTCTGTACGCCGCGCGTCGCACGCTCTCGGCGTATATTCTTCGTGTCTCTCTTCGAGAAAACCGTGTACGCGTTGGCTCGAATCGTTTCGAAAAAGTTTCACCGTTACGATTCGCGCCGGGTATCCGAAAGGAAACGAAAGGCCTCGTTCTTCTTGGCGATTTTCACCTCGTGAGCCGGCTTCAGAAAGCGTAAAGCCACGGCGTTATGCCTCGTTGCGACCGATCGTCCAATGGTCTAGTCGTCCGACGGGCCAAGAGAAACGATTGCCCGCTCCATTTTCGTAACGTGCCATCTTCTCTTCGGGGCAAACCGGATATTGCGGTTTTCGTATCGGAGAAAAAGGAGCCCCGGAGGAAACGCGATTTCTTTCGCAATGCGCTCTCGAAAGGAAGCTTCTTCTTCTTCTAATTAACGAGCGAGTCCGTCCGCGTATCAGCCGATGCGGTTGAAACGAGCGCTAGCCTATTCTCCTCGCAGTCCTTTCATTGGGACCGCGTGCACGCCGCGCCGGCGAAAAAAGGTTCGATGAACGCAAAAACCGTCAGAGGCAATTACAAGGGAACACGTGATCACGATGAAACGAGAGGCCCGGCTAATAGCGCGTTTCCGGTTTACGAAGGTGAGCTACGTGGCAACCAAGATATCGTAGGTAACCGCGTGAAAGGTAAAGACCGAACTCCTGGATCAAGATCGAAGAACGTTCGTACTCGATCGACGATTTCAAGGAGTCCGTTCGCGATGGAGCGGATCCAGCGGATCGGAGGAACGGGAGTCGCTCGGCCAGTTTTCATAATAAAAATTGATACTGTGGTTCGTGCACGATCTCTCAGTAAATTTTATGGCTGAATGGGAATGCGCGTGTAAAGCGAGCATACGACGCGTACGTCCGGCACGGCACTTGTTGCGCTCGTCATCGCCTCGAAGACCCGTTTGCTCCGTGGTGGAAGGAGGCAGCATCTGCGGACCGTGTCACGCGAACCACATCGGCGAGCACTTAAAATGAGTTCCTTCGAAACAAGATTTACGACCCTGAGCAGGAGCGACACGCGTTCGTATTGGTCTTGGTTCCCGCGTGTCCTCGCACTCGATCGGTACCCCGCCTCAACAGCCGTTCCTCGTTCGTTATCGTCGTCCAAACAGAAATCCGAGTCTCAAAGACAGGAACTACGAGAAAGGAACGATAAGGCCCGGCCGGGAGAGTCGGAAGACAAACGGAAGGAAAGGTGGTCACCGACATAGGAAACCGGCAAACGCCAGGAGAGACGATGCGCGTACGAGGAACGTCCCTCGGTTTTCTTCTCGCGATGCTCGTCGCGTTCTCTTTCGTGCATTGTATACGAGCAAAGACCGAACTCTTGGCGGTCTCAGCCTCTCAGGTTCCTGAGAACCGGACTGCAGCCGAGGACTCGCAACGCCTCGTCGCGTCCCATGCTTTCTTTTTCTACGTTCTACGAGCTCGTCGACCCTAAATAGAGGCCGACGCGAACGCGGCGGGCCATCTCGATTCCCCTTTTATTATGTTCACCCGCGAACGGTCCGAGATTCTCCGCGTGTCACGGTGTCGCGTTACCTCCATCGAATCCGAGCAACCGTCGCGTTAGGATTATTACTTGAGGCGAGAGACAGGCTCGTGCCATACGCTCGTCTTTTTCACGATCTGTGTCCGAATGGTTACGCGTGTTTAGCAGTCGGCCGAGAGTCAAGTTCGCATCGGGCAGATGACTTGATCCGAGCTTGACTCGTCCGTTGCACCTGATCGAAACGAGACGCGCGTCCAACAGAACACCCTCAAAGTAGCTCGAACCGAGTTTAGTCGTAGTGCGCAGAGAAAATATGCCAAGCCCTCCCGTCGGAGAGTCGGAGAGATCCTCCGAACACGGAACAACACCGAACGCGATCGCCATTATCGCGTGATCGTTCCCTCGTGACGAAGCGGGACGGAGATCCCTCGACGAGTTTCGAGGAAATCGTTTACGTCGGTATAATTCGACCGGTATGAATCGAAGGAAGTAAACCGACCGAAGGTAGAAATCCCGTGAGAGGCGTACGAGGAACAGGCGCAACATTAAGTTTCGTTGTCGGGAAGTTTCCCTGGCCCTCGGTGATCCACCTGTCAGCGCGGAGCACCTGCCTTGGCGACCGCTCGGTAGCGACGTTAATGACCATTCATGGATCGTTGCCCGCACGACATGTGGGCAACGAGCTGGAATCCGACTCAATTGCCGCGCTAATTTCCACGACTCCTTTCCATTATTATTAATTCCGACGATCGAACCCCGTGAATTTAAATAATTAGCGATAGACGAAATTAATTGAGAGTCGGCCGATCTCGCTCCTTTCATCGCGGAAGGCCATCGGTATCGTAGAAATTAATCGGGTGTTCCTATCGTGTGTTCGCTGGTTAAGGTCGTTCGCACGATCCCTGCGCCAAGTCTGCGCTCCGACTCTATGGGAATCCGTTCTCCGTTCCAGCTATCGATCTGTTACGCGAAACAATGCGGCCCGTGAAAGCGGGCCGTAAAACATTCGGTTCAATCTCACGCGGGAGTCAATCAATGGTTTGTTCGTCCGTTTTACAGACGCGACCGTGATCACGAGCGACGGCCTTCAAGGCTACGACCCCCAGTTCATGGTCGGATGTTACTTTCCCGCGGAATTCCAGGGTGAGTTCGTGACCCAGGTGAGCGGAAAGGAAGCGACCGATACGAGCAACGAGCCCGTCCAATACTCCACGATCAACATCACGTTCAACGCTATCCCCGTCTGGGGTTACTGCCACCGGAGGATCGGCGACAACGTCTTGTTAATGGACAGGTGACGACTCAACATCCGATTCGATCGGAGATTCGGTTTTTCAGGGAAGATTTTGCGAGATACAAGTATTATCGCACGATCAGCGCACGTCTGGCGAGAGCTCGTCGGCTATCCTGATTGTTTAAATGTCGAGTATGCACCGAGTGCGATTCAAGTACGCGCTCGTTTAATCCGTGAAGGTACCGCGGCGACGTCTGCGGCGCGTCTGGGATGGAAATAGACCAGCCTCCGGACGGTGCACTTTCTTCTTTCGCGGCTAACGGCGTCTAACCGCGGAGCGATTAGAGCATTCGACGCTCGTTTAGCTCCTGTTACCTAGCTCGGCCGTCTAATCTTAGATCGGACGTATGAACCGTAGGTACGGCGACGGCGAGTGCATCCGATGCTTCCGGTTGTTGAGAAGATCGCGGAACGTCATAGAGATGTTCTCCGAAGACCTGAACCGGTGTTACACCTCGGAAGTCACTGCCTTGGCCTCTTGCGACAAGCTCAACTCCACGTCCATTTTGTATCGTACGTAGTACAACGTCGATCGCGTACGATTCGCCGGGTAGATTGACCGCTCGATCATCTTTTGTACAGGCACCAAGGAGATCGGTAACGTTCCCATCCGGAACGAGTACTGCCCGATAACCGGCCAATATCATTTCAAATATAGCCTCAACAACGGATCCATAACTCCCATCGAGTGCAACAGCTTCTCGTCCTCCTTCAATAACTGCCCCGACGGCTCCGTCTTGAGACTGCACTTCAGTCGCTGCAGTTTCGAATCTCGTAGTAATAATACCCGTTTCATCTTGTCCTGCTCGCGCGACTCGTCTGACAAACAAACTCATTTCTTGCCATTCGCAATTCTAGTGAATCTCACGTTCAACTGTTTGGGAAATTGGCCCGGTCCGAACGGTTCCACGTACTTCGCGTTGATGGACAACAGTGCGACGTACGAGGGGAGACCGCAGTACAGATGCGGAGTAAGTTCAAGTACACTGGTTTAAAATCGTAGCCTTTCAATCGGGTGGTCGTCGCTCGTTTCAGCTGTTCCACGTCGACAACACGAAAGGAAAGACGTACATGGCTCTCAGCAGCGATTCTAGCTGTACCCAGAATTTAGACGACTCTACCAGCGGATACGAGACTCTGGTCCTGAGTAAAGTACCCAGTCAGAAGAAGATGCCGAATTATGTCAAGACTCACGTCGCGACGTTAGTACTCGTTTTTTTTGTTCGAATCTGTTTCTATGGAACCGATCGGATGATACGATTGATTTAGGTTCCCGAAATGGGCGCAAGGCTTATGGGAGGAATCGCTGATCGTCAACGGAACCATGACTTTCACCGATCTCAATGGCTATAACAGTTACACGTTCATTACCGTCGACTCGAACGAAGAGACTGGACGCTACATCGTCTATTCGAAAGATCAATGGTGAGACACGGTTCAATCTTGTCTTTTTATATATCTCTTTTTTTATGCTACGCGTACATACATTTACTTTTCCAGCGAACAAGCAGCCTACGTGTGTTTGATGATGAGGCAACGTAGCGAAAACGTGCTCGAGTTCACGATAGGTATTCACCCTTCCTGATCAATCGATCTTAAATTAAATTATTCGAATCCCATTATCCCAAGCGATAATCGTTCACAGGAATGGTACTGAGTCCAGTTTATCAGCCGGATCTTTGTGACAATCCTAATTTAGACAAACCCGTTTGGATGACGCAAGCGCGTAAGTTCACCGATTAAATTGTAAGATTCGATGAGAAACGCGTGACGGCACACGGTCTGTAAATTAGGTGTTGAACGCGCGGTGGAATCGCCTTGTCCGATCACTGGCCAGTACATGGGGATGATAACGGACCTGTCTGGGATGTGTGCCGAGCTAAGTAGCAATTGCAACACTCGCGAAATAATGTACTTCAAAGTCTCCGATTGCGAGTCTGGAGAACTTTACGGAGGTAGAGTATATCCCGAAGCGATAAGCGAATTCGCTCGACGCTAAACCAAGTATTCGTCCATTTCAGAACGAACGTACCTGTGCCTGGGACAATGGGAGGAAAAGGGAGTGATGTACACTTATACCATGAGAAACGATACCGAGACCAACGAGTGCTTCGTCGGTTTGATCGTGAACGACGAAGAGATTTATATCAAGGAAGCAGGCGATCATTGCATTCGAAACATCGACCCGAAGAAGGAAGGAATGCGTTTATACAAGAAAGGCAAGTCTTTTTATTATACGTGGAAATTAAACATTTGATCGATCGATCGTTCGATTGAACAGGTCAATGTTACGGAAATTCTCCGAGCCCTGCACCGACGCCGATGAAACCGATTCCACACAATCCAATAATGAGAATCGCGACGACGCCCAGATCGAGGGTGTCAGGTAAGAACGAATTTATCACGTCTGTTTCTCGACTGCGTGTCACAACATTTTATAACGATCGATCTGTTGCAACGATAGGTACCAACAATATATCAGGAAACAATATTCCATCGTTCGCTACAGGCACAGCAACTGCGACCTACGGTTTCACGACGTTCGCGATACTGATTACGTTTTACGTACATGTTTGAGCATCGACATTGCCATTTGTAGAGCGTTCTAAACTAGCAATCGAATCGTTACGATATATGAAACGAGTGGAACGTTGACTCGAGAGAGTCTTAAGAATTTTCTTAATTCCGTCGAGACGAGTGATCGAACGATTATACGAAAGATGACTGCATAGGAATATTTTTGATTCGATCTATACATATCGCGCGCGTGCACACGCACGCACGCACGCACACGCACACACACACACACACAGACAGACGTCCGTTAAGAAAAATTATGATAACTTATTTTATACTTTATGAATACTTTTCATAACATTTCTGTAGATAAATACCAGCACTGCCTTGTAAGATACGGGTAATAACAAACCGGGTACTGTACGTTACTACGAGAATCCAAAGAAATTCATTCTGCTACATCTTTTTATGACAAACCGATCGAGTAGATGCAGTCACTGTTGCACGAGACTGACCGAAGTAACGACGTTGTACAGGTACGGCAGGTCTTGGATTTGTACTTAAATAAAGAAATTCATCCTGTTTACGGATACGCTTCGGTGAGAATTACGGAAAGCAATACGGTTCGTCCTGTGATCATTTCTACGGAAGGAACAGCTCAACGATCAATTTGACAATTTTCATATCTAACGTCTAATCGCCTTTTTATAATTGATAAGCGTCGTAACTCTGACGAACGATCGTCATGCGAGGAAACTTATAGTTTTATAAAATGCTTCTACCTTTTTATATTTATACCCAACTGTATATACGAATGTATTTATGAACCTACTGTCTTATCTATTAATGTGTAAAATCAATGATTTGTAATGTAGATAGTACTTTTCCAGTGACGCTATACGTAGAATTTCTACGGGTCTGTCGGGTGCCGAATTATTGCCAGTCGATTCGTTTCTCTTATAAAGTATAATCGTAAGTGTCGAGAACCGTAACTCTGGTATCCGAGAGGCTTGTACGTACATTAGAAAAATGTGTTATATCAAAATTGTGCAAATATACATCGATCTATATGTATTTTGTTCACTTACTATCCCTACCCGTGTGTATAGATACAAAATAAACAACGAAACTCAAAGATCGAGGAATTTACGTTCGTAGGCCATAACGGTCTCTTTACACTCCGTTCCCCAGAAATATTTATTGCTGCCTGATTTGCCAACGACTCGATGACACGGTACCAAATACGCGATGCTATTCTTCTTTACTGCGTTTCCGACGGCTCTCGCTGCTTTCGGTCTTCCTACTTTCCTCGCGACTTCCTCGTAGGTGCACGTGCTACCTTCGGAAATCGAGAACAAGGCTGTCCATACTTCTAATTCGAACTCTGTGCCCTTCATCAGAACCACGAGGGAATCGTCGGCACCAACGCGTACGGAGAGTATTCTTTTCATGATTTCAACGGTATCGTTCGCGACGTCTTCCGTCAATTCGGAGAGTGGCCAATGTTTCTTCAATCTTGCCACTGCTTCCTCGTTGCCTTTCCCAGCGAATCCCAAAAACACGATAGCTTTATCGGTACTGATTATGCCCAACAATAACGGAGAATCCCACAATGGCGTTGGGTGAAACGCATAGGTTATTTGAAAATCCGCATGTCTCGCTTTGTATTCCTGCACTGTCATCGTTTGAAAACGAACCATCCTCGACGATGTTGACTGACTCTTTTATTTTTAACTGTTTTTGACTTTCTAACCAAATACCAAACAACTGGGAGTACTTCTACCTTGTGTTAGGTGGCGCGAACCGAGTAAATAATGGAGAAAATCGAATAACGCAGTTGAGTCAGGTTGAAGGTATTATGATCGCGTATGACGTGTACTTGGAGTGATCCTCGTGTAAATTGGAAAGGAGATTAGCGAGATCGTTTCCATCGTCGTCGAAAATGGTAGATCACTCGGTACCGACCGACATTCTCGACGATTTGAGCAGGTTAGTCGTCCCAGGCAATTCATCATCCCGTGCATCGTCGACCGTTAGTTATGCGCTGAAAATATTGACCGATACCGAACGATACCCTCGATTTTCAGCCGTTTTATCATCAACGTGCCGGAAGAGGAAAGGAAGGATTTGGTTCGAATATGCTTTCAAATCGAACTGGCCCACTGGTTCTACCTAGATTTCTACTGTACAGACGAGAATCCTAAATTGAGATCATGCAGCATGAGGGAATTTGCTACACATATCTTTTCCCACATACCGTTCTTAAAACCATACGTAGCCAACATAGATAACATTCTCGAACAGTGGAGAGACTACAAGCAGAAAGTACCGACGTATGGGGCGATCGTGTTGAACGAAGATTTAACAAAGGTATTGCTCGTCCAGAGTTACTGGGCAAAGAGCAGTTGGAGTTTTCCCAAAGGCAAAGTGAACGACGACGAGGATCCGTCCCATTGCGCCGTTAGAGAAGTATTGGAGGAGACTGGTTTTGACATCTCTAATTTAATAGATGAGAACGAATATATAGAGTCGTGGATAAACGAGCAATTAGTAAGATTGTACATAATATGCGGTGTACAGAAGGATACAAAGTTTCAACCGAAAACTAGGAAGGAAATAAAGAACGTGGAATGGTTCTCTCTAGCTGATTTACCTAACAACAAAAAAGATATGACTCCGAAAGTAAAAACCGGCGTTGGTCCAAACGCATTTTTCATGGTCATTCCTTTCGTAAGGTAACGTATTACCGCTCGGCCAATGTTCAAAAGAATATGTCCCCGCGATATTAAACAGAACATGTCTACAAACGAGTGCTTTACTATGCTTTTAAAACAATCTGCGACAGGAGGATGAGACGATGGGTACAAGAAAAGCATCTGCGCGATAAGAATATAAACGTTGTAAGAAGGAACAGGCACAGGTCCCTAGGGGATGCAGAGACCGTTCCGAAAAATAAACGACAATCGCTTCCTCATTCTGCCCAGGTACTAGTTATGCTTGATCTCATTGATTCTCACCGCAATCGACAAACAGATCCGAACACGTATGTTGTAATTTCAGAACGATATTCCTAGCTTTAAGGACGTGAAAAATATCATCCGTCAATCTAACACGTCGCCAGCTAGAAATCGGCGTGCCACGTACGATAATAAAAACGTGGTGTCGCGAACAACGATAAAACGTAACTTATTCGGAGACCAAAACGAAGATGAAACCATTCTCGCGATGCAATTGACGGAGAGTCCACGGAATCAACAGACTTGCTCGGTTTTAATGGACCCGGCTATTCAGTCTATAAGATGCAGTGAATTCAGCTACAAAGCTCAACCGTCTCTCGGTACAACCGTTCCGGCTAAAATGACGAAAGGTTGAACTTTTTTCCTTCTACCGTACGGTATAATCTTAGGCTAAAGGATTCGAGATCGAGATGTTGTTATTTGTTGTTGCAGACACAACGGCACTGGAACACCTCAACAAGCCCGGGAAGAAAGAAAACGCGAAGTCTTTGTTGTTATTCGGTAAAGCGGCTAATAAATTGCAAACAGATCTGAAACCTATGCCTTCTCCATTCACGGTAATAGATCGTAATACATCGCGCTTCTACCCGTCGAGCGACGCTCAACTTCAGAAGTATCCCGTGAAACTGTGTTCAACGATTTGGACGGACTTTAAATTTGATAAACAAGCGATACTAGATTGCTTGTGAAACTGTATCGGGGCGATCGTTTTAGAGAATAGGGAGTTGTTTCAGGTGGTCCACGCGCTCAGTTCTACCATTACTCTCGTTTCATGATATGACGTAATTTTAAACATTTATGATCTCAACGATCTCTCGGCAAACTGTATTTGATTGCCAAACGATCTTACAAATTAAGATTAAGTATAACACGACTGTATAATTACTATTACATGTTTCAAGAATTCGTCTTTTCGTCGCGTCTACGACGGGAGTTGATAACAAACGTTTTTTTTGGTAATAACGACAGTCTGTGCGTTCTATTTTAATACTCGCCAGCACAGAGAAAAGATGAATAAACTATGGAATATACAATTGGCCGTCTCATTGTGAAACTACCGTACCCAAACATCCTCCTATGTACATACAAAATCTGTACACGCTCGTCCTCGGATCAAGATCGACTATTCGAGTCGGATAACTGAACTAAAAACTGAATTAAAAAGAAAAAAAAAACAACAAAATTCCACTCCCGATTACGCACTCTGCGTATAGACTATGAAAAAGGCAAAGAGAAATACTAGGACAGAAATGACGAAATATGCTGTCTTCTTCAAGGCAACGGTACCAATTCCCTGCACACTTCTTATAATTTCATTATTTAATGCGAAAACGGTTTTACTTTCTTCGATAAGTTTGTCCTTTGTATCTTCGTCCAATGTATCCGCGATTTTATTCATGGTGTCCCGCATGTACTGTTTCAGTTCGTAAATGCTGCTATCCCCAAATTGTATGATATTACTACTTGTCGTTTGGATCTGCTTGAACGGCCAAGCTTTCCGCACGAGTTGCCTCTTCTTTTGTAAAATAATTCCGCCGCTCAGGAGACCCATGTACAAATGATAAATATACGCTACTAACAGAATGGGATCTGCCTTTTCAATTTCATTCAAGTGAATCAGATACTTGGTAACGCTCTCCCTGAAATTTTTAAGTGCACGTTAACCATCGACGACTAGTCGTTCGTCACGTACGACTCACCTAGGACTGTAATCTTTTTTCCACTCTTTTCCTAGATAGAACTCGAGATCGCGTTCGAACGCTTCTGTACGACGAAGCTCTTCGCGTAGAAATAACCCTACTTGGGTATCCTTCGATCTAATCATGGCCAGTTCCAAGTACCGAAATATTTCGTAGAACACCAACAAACCGTCGGCCCATATAGAATTATCGAAGAATCCTGTTCAAAGGGAACAACGTAACAGTTCGGTTTACGTCGTTTGTTCGATGAACAAACCTCTCACCAAAAGCTAATTTCGCGTTCACCAAACTGTCGCTGATCGTGTGAATTTCCCTCGTTGCCTTTCGCATTCTCTTGCAAAACGAATTTTGTTCTTCGTTTGCCATGATCGCGAAAGGCATGCGATGCACCTAACAAACAGCCCTCGATAGAGAGAATAACACGATCACGAGGGAATGTTTACCAGTCGCCTTAATTTAAATATTTAAACGTAGACGTGTAAACAATGTTTTTAATGCGCGGTGCATCGAACCGCGCGGATACACCAAGTTCGCATGTATACCAAGTTGCCAGCCATGCTGCCAGGAAACGTTTCGTTGGTTGAGAGAGATCGTGTGATCTTATTTACCAAACCATCTCCATCGCATCTGCGTCACCAGTTTCTTTATATACGTGACATCGAACGTTCACTATTCAGTACCTAATTTAAAACGATTCAGTGTGAAACTTGTTTTACTATACAATAACAAAAGTAACATGAAACGTTATCAAGGATTGATAGTTTTATCGAGGTACATTACACTTTTCCCGCACGTATTCCAATAATTGCAGACTCATTTCTAAAGACACTTGTCCGCGCGTTTCGCCTGTATGATTTAATTCGCGTGCGCATGTCGCGTACACATTCTACATTTGTTCTGATATTGTATGTAAATAATAATAATACATATTCTGCTTGATCTGATTATTTCTTCGTCGTGTTGTACTGTGTCTACACGTTCGTACGTATAATTATATTATGTACGTTATTTATACGAAGGAGCAACGTTAGGCTTACGTCGTAACTAATAATAGTTACAGTTGCGAATAAAATTCTCTGATTCACGAACGATCATCACTAGTTTTATCCGTTATATGGTAAATCGTATTTCAACGTTTCCACGATCAGCTGATAACGACGGACATCAGCTTGTCTTGACAGGCGTATCGTGCATTCCGCACATTCCGTTTGACACAATCCACATACCGATACCGTTCACACAGTTTCACATCGTCTTATACGATTAGATTCAACCGCACCTGACGCAATGAAGCGTTTAACATTCAGACTCATTACTTGGAATCTATAATTCGTTTCCTGATGCTTACAATTAACAATATCCAACAGAATATATTATGATTCCAGACAACTGACAGACAGTGCTACAGGCAAGAGTTACAACGGGGATTTCAACAAGAATAAATTACTTAGTCGCGTGCAAACATTGTGGAGAGCAAAAATGTCTATGCAAAATCAATCGAAGCTGTTGACGCAATTGAAGGATTATTTAAACAAGTCTGGTTACGATAAGAATCTGCAGATCATTTTATCCAAGGACTGGTTAGACTTTTTACAGAAAGTAACGTACTCACAAATAAATACCCTGAAGAAGTTGTCGTCGATCGAACTGACGAAAAGTTCGAGCGATCAGAAAATGATCGACACCGAAAACCGAGAATGCGATAACAGTAAAGTGGTAGGGGTGGATCAAAAAGGAAGTGAGGAAATTGTCAATACTGTTCTGTCAAAAAAGGTGTGAGTCCTCTCAATGATACGCGAAACGATGTCTATTATAATTTTACCGTTTAACTGTTCGTACGTTCGCAGCAAGATCAGGTGGAGTCAGGTACGAGTGAAACTAAGCAGAAAGGCAAAACTGGGGCTCAGTCTATATCTCAGTTCATCAGCGCGTTCATATTTAACTCAACTGTTCAACAAAGTAAAACTGTTAACTTAGTCGTGCCACCGAAATGGAAATTAAACGTTCATAAAAGTATACCAAAGCACAGTATCGCGTCTAGGACGAGACACGTTTTAAACAGCATCGAAACTGCCGAGTCGAACGGTTCGCGTTTGAGGAGAATAGAGGACTTGTTGGTGCACGTTGATCAGTATCCGGAAGCTAGACATTACGCGATTAAAGAAGGAGCAGTCAGAGTGTTGCTTAGAACTCGACGGAGATCCGAAGACGAACAAGTGAAAGGTGCTCGCTTGGACTTGAGCTATTTCCTATAAATGAACGTCTGATTGCAACTCGTAAATTTTGCAGCATCCGTAAGGGAAGCATTAGCAGTATTAGGGTACACAGACCCACTACCTGGCAAAGGTATCAGAATTCTTTCTATCGACGGGGGAGGCATACGTGGAGTATTGGTCATAGAAATGTTGAAGAAACTGGAAGAACTGACGGGGCAGAAGACTCATGAAATGTTCGATTACATATGCGGCGTGAGTACAGGAGCCATTCTTGCCGCTGCATTAGGTACGCATAAAATAGATGCCCAATAGATATTTCCCAAGTTGAACATCGTGTGAATTGTTCTAATGTCTGTGTACAGTTCTGCCCAAGGATCCTACAGAAGGTACGAAAGATGATCGCGTTCGCAACAAGATAAATGTCCATCTTAGCTGCTTGCAAAGACCAGACAATTATTCTTATTTTTTAAAGAGAAATTCGTAATTCTTTCGAGCCTTCCTTAGCAACGTCCATGTGACTACCACTACTACTACTACTACTACTACTACTACTACTACTTTTAATTTCTGAAAACTAGCTCCCTCGTCTATCCGTACACCGATGATGTCTAACCGAGTTATTTATAGGTGGACACAAACGAAAGTCGCTAGAAGAGATCTCCGAATTGTACAAAGAACTGAGCGCCAAAGTGTTTACTCAGAGCGCGATCAAGGGAACGAGTAATTTGGTATGGAGCCACGGGTATTATGACACAGCTCTCTGGGAGCAGCTGTTACAAGAACATTTAGGAGATCCGCTACTTATAAAAACAGTCCGCGATCCGACTTCTCCGAAAGTACTTGCAATTTATTTTCCATGGTCATTCTTAAGAGGGAACGAACGTACAATTTATCGTCGTAACTTCTGTTATACGTTTCAGTTTTCTGCTATATCCGCCATAGTAAATCATGAACGCGTGATGGCGTACGTATTCAGGAATTACACGTTGCCTCACAGGGTAGAAAGCCAGTACATAGGATCTCATAAACACAAGTTGTGGGAGGCTGTCAGAGCATCTGCAGCAGCACCTAGTTACTTCGAAGAATTTAAGCACGGCGAATATCTTCATCAAGACGGAGGTAGACATTCGTGTTGTACGATCGAGCAAAATGTGGAATTGACATGAAAATATGCGCAGGTATACTTGTAAATAATCCATGCGCCGTTGCTTTGCACGAAGCCAAACAGTTGTGGCCGAACAATCGGCTGCAGTGTGTAATTTCATTTGGAACCGGGCGAACGCCGAATCGAATTTGCGAAAATAACGAGGACTACTCGGAAATAGCGATATCAAGCTGGCGAGAGAAGTTCTATAAGATTTTAGACAGCGCGACCGATACCGAAGGTACGAAAACAAATTGTCACGTTACGTCCGATTCTCTGACGCTCGTCAATGTTACTTCGCAGCTGTGCATACGATGTTGAACGATCTTCTGCCCGGACACATCTATTTCCGCTTCAACCCGTACTTGACGGAAATGTTGTCGATGGTCGAAACACGCCCGGAAAAGATCAGTCAACTGGAACAGGACGCGAGAATGTACATACGTAGAAACGAGGAGAAATTTCAGAAGGCTGCCGTGGTCCTGATGCAACGAAAAAATGTTCCACGCAAGATCATGGATTGGATCGCGTTACAACAGAAAATGACAGGTCTATGAGTCGACTCGTTCCAAAAGATCGATACGCATTCCTCGATTTGTATACGTAGAACGTTATGCGAACATTTACAAGTACAAATTTTGTATTAGACACCGAACGTCGTATGTTATTTACTACATGATATTCTCAGGATTCTGATTCTCACACATTTCGTTCTCACGAGAAAATCTTTGATATAAATTAGTTTCCTTACAGTATAAGTGTTACAGTGTGCACTGTGATGACTTGAACGCGAACGTAGTGTCAAAGTAATTTTCTTACAAACTTATGTCAGTAGAGAGAGAGATTCAAACAAACTATATGTATATCTGTACGAATTCGTAGATGACACGTGTGAAACATCACAATTTATAATGATTCTTAAATGTTGTTAGTTCTTAGAAAACTGTGCTCGAATTAAACTGTTGCCGACTATACGTGTGTGTACAAAGAGAATCGTTTCGAAAACTAAGTTGCGAAATATACTTACATGTACATAAATACATAATTAAATAAATAGAAGTTGTTGAAAAGCATTGTACGTGGGTGTCCGTGACTAGCGCGCGCAAATTCAAAATTCTCCTCGATGGCACAACCTGGCACAACGCATGATCGAAATTCCTGAAATCTTACAACACTGGCAACACTGGTTTGCTATTCGCTTGCCTGTTTCCTTTCCCTTCCTCTCCTTCCACTTCCGAAGACCGTACGATTCGCGCACACAGGTAAAGAATCTCACCATCGAATATCCAAATAATTTGCCACATAAGCGATGCATCGATACCGTCAAATCATTGTTTAGTTATTAAATGAAATCACCGTTTATTAATTTGTTACGATCTTTCTCCTTTCATTCGTCACAAAACTATTTACGTTCCTCGTGAATTAACCTCAACTTTACGCACTGTTTACCGTGTCACATGTCTCGAGACTGACTAACTTCTTTTTTAGAGCATTTAATAGAAGAAAATGGCAAAGTCGAAGAATCATACCAATCATAATCAAAGTGAGTGTAACACAAAGAGTATTTGTTATCAATTGATTTGATCCAATCGATGGTGTTCACCTATTTTCTGTTCCGATTTATAGACCGCAAAGCTCATCGTAATGGTATTAAAAAACCGAAACGATATAGGCACGAGTCTACGCTTGGTGTAAGTATTAAATTCTGCACAAAATAATTGGCTTTAAATGGCTTCTTGGACTTGAAGTTTCTCATACGCATTCCCTTCCATCTTCTGAACTGTTTCAGATGGATCTGAAATTCTTGAGGAATCAACGTTTCGCGAAGAAGCACAATCTAAAGCCAAAAGAACAACTGAAGAGGGCAGAAAAGCGAAAAGCTCTTCGTGAAGCTAAGAAAACTGCAAAGTAAATTTTTACAATAAAAACTGTGAATACAAATTTGTCGTTACACTGACTTCATCTTATTATCATTTCCTCCCTCTCCCTTGTTATTTCAATAAACCGAACATTTGCACGAATGAATATTCGCACGAATTATCCAAATCGAGATATTTACATAGATAAGTGTTCGTACGGATTATCTTTCGATCCTTTCCATTTAGTACTTGAACGGGACTCCTGAATGGTTACAGCTGAGAGCAACGTGTGCTTAAAATGGCGGTTGATCTACTTGCCGACGAATGGAAAATGAAATATAAAAATGTGTTGGGACCGCGGACGATCCTGTTGTTCAGCGGTAAAAGAAAATGCGGTAAAGACTATGTCACGAACGCTTTACAAGAAAGGTAACGAATGTGCTATCGATATTAAGTTGACGATCGATCGATATCGAAATACATTTTGCGATTAGACTTGGCCAGGACAATTGCGTCACTATAAAATTATCTGGACCAATTAAATCTCACTGGTCCAACGCCTTTGATTTGGACATGAATCAGCTTGTAGGAGACGGGAAATACAAAGAAACGTATCGACATCGAATGGCCAAGTGGGGAGAAGACATAAGAAGGAAGGATTACGGCTACTTCTGTCGCGCAGCCATAGACATGTACAATGGTAAAACATTATTGTTTAAATGTTAATAGTCTGCTAACGTAGCATCTCTGTTTTAGCGTATGGCAAACCAACATGGATAGTGAGCGACGCTAGGCGAAAGACCGACATAAAATGGTTCGCGGAAAACTTCGGGAGCGCGTGCAAAACCGTTCGCGTTGTATCCGACGATTCAGTAAGAATGAAGCGCGGTTGGGAATTCGTTCCAGGTACGAGTCAATTGTAACGACGAATTCTCAAGCGTGAGACCGATCGGAGTAATCGAAATTAACGTTATAGGTATCGATGATGCGGAAACCGAATGCGATTTAGACGATGTAGCTACGTGGGATTTGATAGCTGAAAACAACCACGAGGACATCGAATTCATATTACAGAAGATACTAGAACTGATCAATGAAAACTGACGGCAGATCACAATCCGATCCCGAGTTAAATATCTAAATGCGTGCGGCGTAATTATAATTCATCTTTTTTTGTATACGAATTATTTGTAGAGATAAAAGAAAAATGTGGTCAATAAATATACATATGTAGAAGATAAACTTCTGTTACTCATTGTATGTGCCGTGAGTACGAATTTCGAATGAGTCGATGAAATCAGTTCTGCCTGTCGCGAGATTGATTGCGAACGAGGTGAAAAATGTATTTGCCGAAAGTTGAAAGGTAGAGACGAAGAAAGAAACGAATGGCGATATCGTCGTGGCATATACCGATAATGAAATTATTTCATCACGATTCATAAATCACGTTGTACGACGCGCGGCAGAATATGCCACCGAGAATCGGGGATATTAATCGGAATTACAAAACCAGATGTTTTGTACGGTCTTTCGAATAAAATTCAATTCCTACGCGACGCCGGGGCGTAAATGATTAATTAACGTGCACCGGATACGAATAAAGGGTTTAAAGAAGTCTAAAAGGAGGTACGCAGTCTCTGGTTTTACGTTCATTCGCGGATCACGAGCCACCGAGCAGGACGTTACGAAAGAAGGACGACCAGTTTTCGGTACCCGATGGCAAGCAGTTTACTTTCGGTTTCGGTTTCGGTTTCGCTGATGAGAAAACGTTCCGCGGGACAGGGAAAGAGACAGAAAAAGTGGGCGGAGATTTGTACGAGGCAATAATTGAGTGTCCCGTATGATGGAACGTAATTGTTTCGGCGTGACCGTAAACGTTTCTCTGGCTGTTACTTGTTCTTCGGGACACTGATTTATGCCACAGGCGGATGCTCCCATACTTACGTGTAGAAAGAACTACCCGAATGGTATCAGCAGCGGCATTTACGCGAAATAAATAAAAGAAGATCGCTCCTTATCGCGCGTGAAACAAAGCGTGAAACAAAGCGTGAAACAAAGCGTGAAACAAAGCTTAGAAGCGGCAACAGCGAGAAAATGTGATAGCGCGGAGTCACAGGTTTAGGGTGTACCCAAGTTGCGTAAGATCTTCATCTTGATTGAGAGCACGGGTTAAAAATGTCGATTCTCGATTCACGCGCGACCTTCGTATGCCCACATAATAGATGTTGAGCAAGGCTTTTAAAAAATGGTTATCTCGCGGACCGCCGCGTTAAGAACCTCGGAGAAGCTGCGAACCCGCGTGAGTATTGCTCACCGATTTTGCAAACGTTCGAACCGATGCGATCGCGAAACCTGCTGAGATAAATTTCAAATCCAATCGTTATTTACGAATCAGTTATCCTTGACCACTGTTATTATCATCGCGGTATACGACAATAATTATTGAGTTAAGGACAATAAACGTTGCCATAAAGTTTAACTCGTAAAAGTGGCTGTTGCATGCGACCCCGTGATTATTATTTCTGTTATTTCTGCTGTACGTTTCATTAATGTTACCTCGTTTATATTTAAAACCAATAAACCGAAAATGTTTATGGTGGCACGAACGAAACAGCCGAAATAAGAATCTAGATTAGAAACTAGATCTAACGACTGACACGGTAGATCAATTAGCGAAGTTTCGGGCTTTCTAAACTCTAATCGGGCATCGATCGTCCTCCGTCTCTCTCGTTCTGGAACAGACTTTTAAAAAAACGTAAAAAGCCTTGCGTAACTGGTCTAAAATTGCCAATAAAAAATAGCACGCCGTCGAGAAAAAAGACGAGAGAAGATCACCTTGATACCTTTACCGAAAAGCGGGCACGTCGCGAGAAGAGAACATGTTCAATATTTACGATTAAAGAACGATTAAAGGCTCGATCGAATTACGATGTTTTCCAAGACGAGACAAGGGAAATTAGTCGTACGATTCTTACGGAAGCAGCATTTTCTCTTTTTTTCGGTGGGAGCTCGCGTAATTCAACGTCAACACGTTTCGTGAGCGTCGAATCTTACACGGACCCACGTGTACGCCGAACGAATGACAATCAGATTCTAAAGGCGCATCGACCCAGTTCAATTCACCGTTTTCACTTTTCAACGTCTATGATCCTTTGCCATTTAAAATTGCCCGGTGTCGTTCATCGATATCAACGATCATTGCCTGATCGTCACGAGAAATCGCGGAACGACGAAATTCGTCGACTGCATCGCCGTAGAGATTAACGTCCGATCTCTTACCGAGGCTTTGGACGTTTTCTCGTAGAGATTCGCGTGGTTGATCGGAGAACGCCACAATAGGTGATTGCGAAACGGTGAAACGAACGTGACGCAGGGAGATGCGTAGCTGTCAATTTCTATGAGGGGGCAAGTTTCTCGAAGATTAAACGCGCGGTAGAGTAAAGTAGATCGACCCAGTTTTGGTCAACTTTGAGCCTTTGTTCATATGGGAGGGGTACCGGTACCGGAACGATCGTTTTGTGAGGAGGGGCCCCCTTTACTACCACGTGGCCATATAAGCAACGTCTGCTGCCACCGAAAGGCAGAGTCCTGCACCCCTTCGTTGACTCGCACGCTCCTGTTATTTCTCGCTGACCAAGGTAATTTCGCGTCCGAAAATTACGGACCGGCTCGGAGCCTTTTCATTTTACCAATTGACATTTTCGTTACTGAGAACGCGTGCTCCAGTGAACACGTAACCAAGACCACTATTTGCCCACTGTTCCTCCCCCCGACGACGTTTAGATTAAGACAATTTTTTGTGCACTCACTGATTTAATTCCTACGTACCGAATTCGATGATTCCAGAATGCAGCTCCAAGTCCTCTTCGTAACGGTGGCCGCGGCGCTGCTCCAAAGCGGTCACGGCAGTTTCGTGTCCATCAGGATGCCGTATCTGAATCCAGCGGGAGTCACGTACATAAATAACGTTCAACCCGAGGCACACGTTGCCTACGGTGTTCCAGCTGACGTCGAGGCCCAGCACATCGGGTATGCCGCCGCCCAGGTCCCAGCAGTTGCCGCCGTGCCTTACGTCAAACACGTGCCCACCGTCTCTCATGTGCCGGTCACCAAATTCGAAGCTCAGCCGGCCATCGTCGAGAAACAGTTGGACGTCGTGAAACCGGCTGTTTCCACTCGCAAGTTCGAAGTAAGTGTCGTCGCGGGTCCAAGTCCGGGTTTCCGTTCGAGACGTCTGATTTCGTTCGTTCACTTACCACAGGTACGCCGGCCAGCGATTCAGAAACAGTTCTTCGACATCGAAGAGCGCGTCGTCGTTCGCCCCGCTGGCTCAGCGGTGGTCGAGCTCGATCAACCAACCTCGAAGACTCAAAAAGGACCAGCGGTGATCCAACCGTTCTATCATCATTTCGAGGCATCTCCGGTCGCTCCAACCCTCCCGTCTCCAGCGATTTCCGCCAGCCCAGCTACCTCCAGCGACGACGAGAACGTTGTCGTGGAGAACCCAGATTTCCGCAAAGTCGGTCCCCAAGTCCAGGTACTCTAATGTCGAATCACCATTTTTTTAAATATTACCTGAAAGACGCTAAATCGCTGATATAATCGCTCCTAGACCGGAGCATCTCCGGCGCAGACGAGGAACAGCTTCAACGGGGCTCAAGCATCGGAAGAACCCTTCGTCGCCCACGATCCGTCGCCGAACGTCCTCGTCAGCCCGCAGTCGTCGCCTGAGGAGGACAAGCAAAATCAGAACAGACTGATCGAGCTGCTGACTGCTCGCGGCAACGTCGCCGAGGTATGCTTCGACCAAACGAATTTGTCAAACGAACCGAAGGTGTCAAACGAATCGAGGATACATTTTGTACATTGCAGGTCGGATTCGGCCGGTTCGGAGTCTCTCAATCGTCGGTCGGTGACTCTGGACAGGTCAGAGGCCGAGTGATCTCCGCCACCCCGGCTCCGGATTCCGCGGAACCAGCTGACGAACGCGTCTCGACGCGACGCGTCGTGCTCAGCAGGCCGATCGAGACCCTCCAAGAAGTGAACGTCGTCGAACCAGCTACGAAGATCGAACGCGTGTCCGTGCACCAGCCTACCTTCATAAAAACGGCCCGTCTCGATCATGTTCAGGTTCACGGTTCCGTCCCAGTCGTTGGAAAGGCCCTTGCACCAACGATCGCCCATGCCGCCGTTCCGGTTTACCAAAAAACCAACTTACCGGTTTACCAATACTACCATTGAATCGCTCATTGAATCGTAATGTCACGAGTTTACCACGGAACGAGATGAGTTACTCCTGACCGAAGGAGAGACGTAGCGCACTCCCTATTTCCGTATTCGTATGCTCGAAAATGTTTATGAAATAAAAATGTACGAAAAGAATAACCGACCGTTATTGATTTACTCCTTACGAAACTGTATCGATCGATACCTACTACGATTCTAATAGTCGATTTAATCGATCTAATATAATATGGCGTCGATCGATTGCCGCCAATTCAAGTGCAAGGCTTTATGCCAATTACCTTTCGCTGACGAAATCGTCTCTTTTGTCGAATAATATGTTATTCGGAACGATGCGAATCGACAGCTTCCTGTAGCGGACGAACTGACAAGGGTAACCACTTCTCGCGGATATCATACGTATATGGACGTAACATTGACCCACATATCGTCGAGCGTGTGTCCAATTCCCTTCGTACTTTCGATGAAAAAGTCCATCATCGAATCAATGAACCATAATCATTCGAATTAAAACGATCAAAATTATTGTTTTTTCATCCGTGAATGTGGTAAGGAAGTATGTACAATGAAATTCTGTAGGATCGATCGACGAGGATGCATGGACACGATCGAAGAAAGTGAAGGTAAATGCTACATGGTCACCGTATAAAAGGCTTAGGAACGCTGCGTGTAATAACGCGACTCACCGGTATTTTAACCCGGATTCGAATAAGAGACATATGTTATGCACACATAAGCAGACACGCATATGTAACGCACTAAAAAGATCGTAGGAACTTGCGTGGGCGATTGACGCTCGGCAACTGGTTACACGTAACAGTTGAACGAACTCTCGACGAATAGCCAAGCGTTTTATTAAAATGTATCGAACAGTTCGCGATCCATAGTCGAGAGTCGTTCAAGTAAGCATGATACGGTCGAGTTTCGTTCGGAGAACGAGTGAAATTTAAATTGATCTTTCGATACACGTACGAACACTGATCGAATCTCACGTTGTTCACGTCAATTCATCGCGCGTAAACCGACGAATCAGAATCAGGCGGGCGCGGCGCGTATTGAATTATTCTCCGAAACGAAGTGAAAACCGTTGAAACAGTTCCGAAATATCGCGTACGTGATCTGTAGCGGTTGAACGATCATGAACGATCAAAATTGTAACTTTACTTTCAACGAATTCGTATCCGTTCAACCGTGAATTCTTGCGGGAAGGTCGCGGACGACCGGCGGCGAGTCGCGATCGCGCGAAGGGATCGACACCCTTGAAACGCTCGGAAAGGAGTAACCTCGCACGGGACTTAAAACCCGATAAAAGTAGTGGCCAGAAGGCGAATAACGACCAAGGAAACCCGTCGACGGTAACCTTAGCTCGCGCACGTCGTAGATACCGCGCGCGGTGGTCACTATATAAGTGAGACTGTACTCGATCTCGAATTCAGTTAGAGATACACGCGAGTGATATAACTAGATCGATAGGTAGATCGATAGGCGAGTGCGGGTAAACGCGGTCCACGGAAAATCGAGCACCACGATAGAGCGGATGAAAGTAGAGGATGCAAATTCTCAGCGATTCGGTGGACAACGTTTCAGCTAGAGAGTTCTCGTGCTAAGAATCGGTGGTACAGCCCCGTGTACTTGGAGCATCGGGAGAACTATTTTGAAATTTCGATAGTGTATTCGATACGAAGTGTACGTATGTATGCGTACGTATGTAGAAGCATCCGCCAGGGTTTCACTGCGCGTACGCATGAGGATATGACTCCTCTGTCGAGAATTCCGATTTTTCAAACGACAAACGAAATTTATTGTCTGTACAGGATCGTAGAGTCTCCAGTTATGAACGCGGTAATCGTACTCATCCTCACGGTGGGAATATGCGCGGCTATGCCACAGTATTACGTGCCATCGGGATTCGTCTATCCACATCCGGCGAACGTACTCAACTCGGCAATCGAGGATACGCTACCGAACGAACTGCGAAATAACTTTTACAAGGATCCACGGATAGCTGCCAGGCTCGCGGAAGAATCATGGTTTTTCAATAAGGAAATGCAGGTAAAGATCCGTCGTACCGTTCGAATCGAAGGGATAAAATATCTGTACCCGATACGCTGAACGCGCGCAGTTTGCAGATTTTATTCTGAAATCCGAGAGTGCAACCTTCGCGACTCTCTCTCTCTCTCTCTCTTTCTCTCTCTCTTCTACCGATTTTACCTGGTATCGCGTTTCCTTGTAAACTCGTACCTTGTACTACATCCTGTGCGCTTTCTAGTGTATCGTAACACGCGAGCACGATCGGAAAAGCGATCCTCGTCTCATCAGATTGATCATTTTTATTGCAGGTAATCGATCGCGAGACGGATAAGATTCCACGGGAGAAGGTATACCATGTTCTTCATAACGCAGGATTCGTAAGAAAGTAAAGATGGAAGCAATAAAAAAATTGTCTATGATTCAGGAGGTTTAATTTAATCGAAATTAAATGTTAAAATTCAGTCGTCGCGTTCGTTCCGTGACTTACATTTCTCCAAGGATTCCAGTAAGATGTCAACGATGGAGATATCCTCGCCCATCGCGTAACGTGATTTTTTATGTATACCTTGGCACGTGTTATCGTGCAAAAAACTGTGCAGCATTTCCAGATAATTGTCGATTTCGTTCGCGTACAACGCGCCCTTGCTCTCGTAACGCAACAGGTGCGGATAACAATGTTCGATTAAACGATTCAGATATCGTGCTATATTCACCTCGCCCATTATTTCGTGCATCCCTGGCAACTGCATTATAGGATCGATACCGATTTCCTTCCAAATTATCGTTAACCGTATGTCAGCATTTTGATCTAGGTCCCGATACTCCGCGCAAAAATTCGACATGCCCCGGGGAAAATATCGCACGTTGCAATGAACATGAGACGTCACGTGAATATTGACGTACGGCTTTACGTGACGTACGAACTGTTCTATAAATTTCACCGGATGTTTTGGATCGCAAAACACGATCAACTTTTGCTTCTCCACTTGCCCGGTGCGTTTGACCGTACAAAATTTATTTTCGCGTTCGTCCGATTCACGTTTTTCTCTTGCGAGCTCCTTTTTACGAGGAGAATTAGGACTCGTCCTGTTAGGAGTACACCTAGCTTGTCTTATTTATTCGGTTGACAAAATAGTTTATATCATTGGTAAGAAAGATATTTACTTGTTTAAGCGACAAATAGGATTATTATAGACCATTTCCAGATCCACTCGTGGTCCAACCAAATCTCGTATATTGTTCAGTCCATATTTGATCATGGTTGGCCTGTGAACAATGTATCGAAACATATCAAACGTGCCGATCTAAACGTTATTCGCCGGTTTACCTTTCCAAAGACAATCCCCAAGCTATCACGTTCACGTTTTCCGGTAATCCCATCGGCAACAACATTTCCGGCCGAAACATTCCGCTGTTACCTATTTCTATCCACTTCTTCAACCCCTCGTGGTAACAAAAGATCTCCATACTCGGCTCGGTGTACGGATTGTACGCGGGCTTGAACCGAAGCTTCGTTATACCAAGCTTCTTGAAGAACTCGTATAAAATTCCTATCAAGTCGCCCAACGTCAGATCGTAGTCAGCGACTACACCTTCGATTTGGTGAAATTCGGCTAGATGCGTGGCATCCAAAGTCTCATTGCGAAACACTCGGTCGATACTAAAGTATTTCACGGGCTTGAATTCACCCTAAAATATCCACGCAATGTATTTAATGCTCTCGAGGCTCTTGTAAGGCATACGCGTTTCATTCAAGTTACTTGTTGCATAAGTTCGTAAAGCATTCGCGCGCTGACAGCGGTCGTATGAGTGCGAAGAATGTTCTTCTGCGCCTCTTCGATCCTCCATTCATAACGATAGCCCAACGATCCATACGCTCCGACGCTATGAACCTTTTTCACCTTCTCCAGGTAGTCCATTGGAAAGTTCGTGCTTCTAGCCGGATCTAAAAGCCGGAATGACGTGTTAATTCGTCGAACGATATCGATCTGACCGGTTCAAGATACAAACCAGATATGAAAAAAGTATCGTGCGCGTCTCTTGCTGGATGCTGCTGAGGTTGAAACAACGCATCGAAATTCCAGAAAGAACTCTCTACGAAATTGTTCGTCGGCATCTCGGTGAATCTAAAAATGAAACAGAGCCATTGAAATGTCACCGTTTAACGAGACCGTTTTCCATACGTACCCCATTTCAAGAAAGATCTTCCGAAATTCGGTTCTAACTTTTAGCAGCGGATGCAAGTGACCCACTTCAAGAGTGGCACCGCGAGCTGCAAAGTTATACGGCTTAAACTTTTTATCTTTCCATGCCCCGTTCACTAATAAATCCGCGGTCAATTCTGTCTCCTGCTTTTCGAGTTTCGTCGTAAAACTCGGACCCCTGTCCAGCTGTACGTATTTAACGACTCTGTATGCGTTAATAAAAAGATTCTTATATACACTGAAATACTAGTTTCTCGTTAGATTAGATAAGTAAATAGCCAGTACATTTCTTGTATCAATTTTCTTTTCTTGTAATCATTTCTAAGGCGGTCAGACAAGTGTCCAAGGCTTTTTAAATCGTTCTGCGTAACATCCGTTATAGAACCAACTTTCTTCCTCACTATAGGTGTACCAGAGCTCTTATCGATTGCTATCCAACCGGCCTGCAGTGCCTTGGAAAATCCGATTTTCGCATATGGAACCGACTGCATGATTTCAGGCTGAGGTACACCAGTTTCTGGGACAGCATTGTAAACTGCTGCTTCGTGGCTACCATGACTCAATACGTGCTGGCCTTCCGACGTTAATTCCCACTTCTTGTCAGTAATTTGTTCAGTAGCGATCAGCTGTAACATAAATCGCGTAAGATCGTAGTGTTGTCAACGAATAATTCGAACCATACTCTCGAAGAACGAACTCGACCGACGGGCACGGGAGAGTTATGGTTATGACGAATTTCGTGTTACTCGTAGTTCGATACGTAGGAAACTGTAGAATTTACGAAATACTACTGAGTTTCGTACATTCTCAGAAAGATAATCGTCTTTAATCGAACGTTGCTGATAATAGGAAAACAAGCGTTTCTAGATGATCCTCCATGCGTCAACTTACATCGCCCACTGCTTCCAGACTTTTGATAGCACCAATCACTTTTTGATGATTCTCTTGAAAAATTTCGGACAATCGAAGGGAATTCACTTTGCCGTGCTCTTCCAAATAATCCAGTATTTGGTCCGTCAATTGTTTCCCCATCGTCTGGGATTGATAATTTCACGTTTACGATGACACGCAGCGCGCACAGCCGGCAACGACCCGCGCGAATGCACGTGAACCGTAACGCGCGATCAAACGCGATGCAAGACAACAGTCATAATTTTATACCATACGACAAGTTTCCTTCTGTGAAACGTACAACAGAAAAATGCGCGTGATCTAAAAATTGTTTTCTTCTTCTGAGCAAGAATCTTCCTAAGTCATTGCATGGAGCATGAAATACATGAAATGCTTTATAACGACAGCACCGTGGTACAGTGGATTAATTATTACAAGGCTTGCATTAGTTTTTACATATTTTATTCACACAAAACATACAAATTACTTTAATGGTATAAATCTTGAGGAATGAGTAGCGCCAATACCTGGCCTACCATGCTTCACAGGTTTGTAAGTGACAGAGAACTCTCCCAAGTAATGACCGATCATTTCAGGTTTGATTTCGACCTGATTGAATGTTTTTCCATTATAGACACCTACAATGGAACCGACCATTTCAGGTACTATAATCATGTTACGCAAATGCGTCTTGACAATTTCTGGTTTTTCATTTGGTGGTGTTTCCTTTTTGGCTTTCCTTAATTTCTTCACCAACGCCATCGACTTCCGCTTCAAGCCATGAGAAAAACGCCTTCGAGCGCGAGCATGCATCAAAACCATGAGCTGCTCACTGAAAAACGAATCATGCCGATCGGTTACTATAATTCGACACGGTTTTTAAAACAAGGGGAGCCGAACTCACTTTGGCATATCAAGGAGTTGATCGAGATCAACTCCTCGAAAGGTAAACTTTCGAAAAGTCCTCTTCTTCTTCTGAGTTTCCTCTGCCTGAAAATCATTCAAAGGTTATATCGTGGTACGTTCGTTCTTTGCAGGTGAATATCATATTGTTCTGTTAAAGCAGGAATGTACAACTCGCTGTAACGTATTCGCGTTCATTTTTACATTCCGGATGGATAGGATTTATTGGATACTTTTAAAACATCTGCAAAACCTACCTCTGCCATGTTTTCTGTTCTTGGGAGAAACGACAATAAGAAATTACTTTTCTCTTCCTGTACGAAAATCGATTCCGGCACTAACTACTAAATGTATATAGATAGTAGACTAGCACTAGGGATCTCACAATGTAAGGAATCGGACAAAAAGCGCTGCAGAGATGCGGATTGGTCGACCGCCGTCACTGGGACACTTCCGGTTTAAACAGTTCAAGCCTAAGCAGCACGTCTATCTCGGTATTGTTGTCACGATTTAGTTAGTCCGCGTCCGCGTATTCAAGAAGAGAGCACGTGTTTTTAAAAGGGCTCGAATAAACGTGAAATAAAATTGAGGAACTGTGAATAACGGGCGTGCTTGTACACATTTTTCATAGCACGGATCGTCCGTAAAATATGAAATACATTTTAGTAACAGGGGGTGTGATTAGTGGAGTCGGCAAGGGTGTCATAGCAAGTTCTTTCGGAACTATACTTAAACATTGCGGTATTCATGTGACGTCTATTAAGATAGATCCTTACATAAATATCGACGCTGGCACCTTTTCGCCTTACGAACACGGTACGACACTTAAAACCGATTACAATTTCATTCAACGAAAAATTTCAATCCATAAAATTTCTGTCGTACGAGCATGTGATGTCAGAAACCATTTCGCACGTTTTCTACCGCGCAATTTTGTAATCGCTAATCACGTGTCATGTTTCCGCGATAACTTTTAATTGTAATACGAAAGAAACGTCAGAATTCGTCGTCTACCCTGCACGCGGTAACCGGCTTGTGTTCGGGATGCCGCCGCCGCCTCGATCAGAAGCGCGATGTCTTTTTTATCAAGGGACGCGGTAGCTTCCCGAAGGCAAGTTTGAGTTATCTATAACCGTTGCTGTAGAAGTAAATGACCTGTGCCGTTTTGCACTCGAATCTTTTCTTTCCGAATCCGAATAATGATGCATCTAATGTCTCGTTTAATTATTTGTTAACACTTTTTATGTTTCAGGAGAAGTATACGTTTTGGACGATGGTGGAGAAGTCGATCTCGATTTAGGAAATTACGAACGTTTCTTAGATATTACATTGCACAGAGATAATAATATCACGACAGGAAAGATTTATCAGCATGTGATCTCGAAGGAGAGACGTGGCGATTACTTGGGGAAAACTGTTCAAGGTAAATGGTCTGGTCTAAAATACGATATAAGTGTGGCTGATCGTTGTTTATTCACAGTGGTACCACATGTAACCGATGCGGTTCAAGAATGGGTCGAAAGAGTTGCGAACCAGTCAGTGACAGAGGATGGTGATAAACCAGACGTAATTCGTACACAAATCACTTAAAGGGAGTAAGGGATAGAATGAACGATCATAAATTGATCGGTGTATTTTTAATTACAGGTTTGCATAGTCGAATTGGGTGGAACTATAGGGGATATAGAGGGAATGCCTTTCGTAGAAGCATTTAGACAGTTTCAGTTCAGAGTGAAAAAAGAAAACTTCTGTTGTGCACACGTGTCATTAGTGCCGCAAGTACGAAACTATTTTTATTTTCTCGACCATCCTGTCTCGCTCTAGACATTGACTTTGAACCGATGCCAAGTGTCAAGACTACTTATTCTCATCGGTTGGGATTACATAACAGTCGTTGTAAAACTTCGTAATTTTTTTTCAGCCGAGGTCCACGGGGGAACCGAAAACGAAACCGACTCAAGCCAGCGTGAGGGAATTGCGCGGACTAGGTTTATCTCCTGATCTCATAGTCTGTAGATCCGAGAACCCGATAGGCGATTCAGTAAAAGAGAAAATTTCCAACTTCTGTCACGTAGCGCCTGAACAAGTAAAATTATTTAAGGACTTGTCCATCGAACGTTCCGTAAGATTTGTTACGAAGAACAATTCAATGGGATTTTCCTTGTTCTCAGGTGATAACCATACACGATCTGTCGTCCATATATCGCGTCCCTCTGTTACTGGAGTCTCAGGGTGTGATCGAGTTTCTAAACGATAGGTTGCAATTAAACATTGGGATGCCACGTCCCAGATATTTTATGCGAAAGTGGAGGGACTTGGCGGATCGTATCGATCATCTTCGTAAAGACGTGAACATCGCGCTCGTTGGAAAATACACCAAGTTAGAGGATTCTTACGCGTCGGTTAAGAAAGCGCTGCAACACGCTTCCATTCAAGTTGGATACAAACTTAATTTAACAGTTGAGTATCGAGCTTCTACTCTTTCGCGTATTCACTGCGATCCACGTTACTAAGGTGAATGAACATGATTTCAGTATATAGAAGCAAACAATTTAGAACCAAATACGAAAATAACAGATCCTGTACAGTATTACGAAGCTTGGCAGCAGCTTTGTAAGAGCCAGTAAGTCGCTTCCCTGTCCGTCTGACCATTTTCGAACGATCGTTCATTTCACGTACGTCGCGATTCATTTAGCGGTGTCATAGTACCGGGTGGATTCGGTAAAAGAGGGACTCTGGGAAAAATGGAAGCATGCAAATGGTGTAGAATGAACGACAAGCCGTATCTCGGGATCTGCTTGGGACTGCAAGTAGCGGTGATCGAGTTCGCGAGGAACGTCTTAGGTATGGAGACTGCGAACAGCACGGAAATCGAGCCCGAGACCGACCATCCTATCGTTATCGATATGCCCGAGTACAATCCGGGGCAAATGGGTGGAACGATGAGGCTTGGAAAAAGGCACACGTGGTTTGCAGAAAAGAATTCTATCATAAGTTAGTAAAGATTCGCCTATAACAAAGTTCGTACAGTTTCCTCTTGTCAACTGCTCTAAAATTACCCGTTCTATGCGTACAGAACAATTGTACGGTAATAAGGAATCCATAGAGGAGAGGCATAGACATCGCTACGAAATCAATCCGAAGTACATCAAAGTGTTAGAAGAGGCAGGAATGAAATTCGTTGGTGAGTCAACGTTATATGGGCCGTAGTCTGAAACGGGAATCGAGGATCGAAACGGTTGGTCTTGGATTTTTACTAGGTCACGACGAAGAAAACATACGTATGGAGATCGCGGAACTGGAAGGGCATTGCTACTATGTCGCCACGCAATTCCACCCGGAATATTTGTCTAGGCCCTTGAAACCTTCGCCTCCGTTCTTAGGACTAATTTTAGCCAGCGTTGGAAAATTAAAGCACTATTTAGCTAAAGGCTGCAGGCTCTCACCTCCGGTGATCAGTGATGACGATTCAGGTAATCAATGATTCAGGTAATTAATTACGATTGTCGACCGTCCGCTATTACTCATCTGGTTTCTACGATTTTCAACAGATAACGAATATCCTACTGATTCTGTAAAAAAGCAAATGGGCCAGACTAGTATGAGTGGTAGTACCACGTCTGGCACCGAGTAAATATTTTACTAAATCGCATTAGACATGAAAAATATTTTTAATGATAAAATATCATATTCGTGTAATGTACATATATGTGATAGGATGGCGAGAGGTTTTTTATTTTAGAAAAAGTTTCGACATACACGCCCAAATGTACGTGTTGTACGTCATGTCCCGTACCACTTGTCAGACAATTTGTTTGACACGCGCGTCGTAGAAAAAGAGATGGTACGTTTCGTACCGAGAAAACGTACTTAAAAACCATCAGTGCAACTTCGACCTTTACTCATTACAGACTTAATTGTTTGTTCGCGTATAAAATTCGTTCGTTGAGACGGTAACTCTATTATTCCCTACTTTCTTCTCTTATGTTTCTCTCAGACTTTTACATTTTTACAATACGAATTATAAACTGTTTTTATCGTTGCGTACAATCGATGTTCCTCATTCGAACGAAGTTGGAATACCTCACATATATTATGCGAAAATAAAATTGAAATTTTCTACGAACCCCTGATCCTTTTTACTTTTAATTTCTAATCGTGTCGAGAATGCAAAGTCTTTGTCGTTCGATCGGTTTGCTGCGTTACGACGGCTCATTGTTAATCACGATCTTCTTATTTTTATTGGGCAGCACATGCGTTCCGCCGAACACAATATATAAAATATACACTGGCAATATTATTATAGTAGAACATTTTTCTTTGTATAAAAATGATTATATGTACAGTACACTCTTATCGATACGCGTATAGTATACGAATATTAAAATTGGTACTACTGATTAAAGTTAAAGTACAGCAGAGAATTCGGATTATAGTTCGCGAAAAGAAATAAAACATCTGTAATACATATTAAACAAATGTAAACAAAATAAATAGAAAAAAATTAAAATGCGCTTTGGACGGTAAGCATTACGAATAATACTGAGAACACGCTCTTTCCGCGGAAAAGAAAGTACAAAGTATTTATAACACGAACAGAATACTTTCGAGTCTTTTGTACGTGCGAAGAATTTTTCTTGAGTGAGTAGAAAAGTACCGTTGCCAATTGATTGTTAAAAAAAAAAAATATTTAACAATAAAGATGTACTGATACAACGAAATAAAGGAAAAGTGACGATTCGACTGTTCTCATCTCTAAGACACTAAACGTAAAGTGAATATCTAGCAATATCTAGCATAGTGCCATCCTGCCGCGGTGCTCGATTTAAATTACATAAAGTACATAATAAATACTTATGCACTTATGATAATCTAAATTAATAACAGTCTGCAGTTAGATTAAATTCGAGCTCTCGTTACTACTTCTTATCACTAGCGATACGACGATACACGCTGACAATATGTATTCGAAAGGAATTTCAAAGTAAACCTAATAATAAGAAGAATGAACCAGTTAAACGAATAATCTCTACAGATATTAATTCTCGTCGACTTACATTACACTCCTTCGTCTCATTCTTTCCGATAATAACGTACTGTACCATGACGAAAATAAACGGAACGTAAAGTGTCTATCGTTATTCGGTGTCTAATCGCTTAATCAAACATTTCAATGATCTTCGTACCGTTTTAGTTATTAAAGAGATCCCGTAGGTTCGGTTCGCGTTAATTAGTCGAGTCATTCCCCGCCTGATCGTTTTATACGATCATCACGGTAACCGAAGCAATAGCATGGAGTTTCGTCCTAGGTTAAATCTTTCGTTTACGACACTTCAAAGTGCACTTACAAGGATATACGTAGTACGTTCCACCTGTACGTACCTTAAATTCGTTACAGCGTAATATTACTACTAGCTTTTCGTACTTAAATAAACCATTCTTTCTTCTTTTGTACTTGATGGCCAGTGGCGGAGTTGACCACCGCCGAGTCCGGGTCCAACGCTATCTCAGCACCCTTGTCCTCCTGCGTCAAGTATTCGCCTTTGTGTCTCGACATGTATCTCCCGATGAGTACCGCCATTATCACTAGAGCTATGATGATTACAGCCAACACGCTTCCCAGAATCGCGGTGTCGGTTTCGTTGTAAGCAGCGCGAAGTTTGTCCTCGTCCACTTGCGGAGGTGGACGAGTCTCTATTATATTGGGAGGATGCGTGATCGGTTCCACCCCGCAAAAGTCTTCCGTGAGGGGAGTGCCGACGGTACGTACGTTTCCCGGACCGTCCTCTTGAAACAGTAATTTCAAAGGGTAGATATCGTCGAACTCTACTCTGGATACACAACCGGCAAACCCTTCCGTCATGGATTCGTTCTTCCCGATGTACATGTATTGAATATTGTTGAACTGCGCATCGGCAGACGTTTTTATGTTGAAATGGAATTCTTTCGGTTCGTAATTGTCGACTTGTAACACGAGGGTAGCTCCTGAATTCTTTCTGCCCACCCTGACGTCGTGATACTGTCCCAAACCGAAATGTTTGTTCGGGAATATTACTTCCTGCCGTTCGAAACCGAAATCGAAAACGACGCGCAAGTAACCGCTGTTCGACACCATGATGGTCATGTACTCCCCGGATATGTTTGAAAATAGACCGAGCAAAAACCCTTTAGGATTCGTCGTTGTAAAACCGACTCGGATCTTCTCCGAGATCGTCGAACGCCAGCTGCCCATGAAGTCGTACTTCACCATGGAACTTGGACGCATATTTACACCGATCTCTGTAACGAAATTGGACGAGTTGAAACATCAGATGATAAACGAACGAGTAGAGCTTAAGTGAATGGACGTAGCGTACCGTCCGCGCAAATGGGACCCTTGAACGCGGTCCAGCGACAGTCGCAAGAATACCCATCGTATCTTTCGTGACACGTGCCGTTGTTGAGACACGGATTGCTCTCGCATTTACCCACGCAGCCCTCGGAGATACCGTAGAGGCCCCGGCGAGCGTAACCCCTCAAGTCTTGCAGTTGGCCGTTCAAGAGAAGTGCCCTGATACATCCCACGTAACCGTCTCTGTAGTCGGTCGTGGCACCGACCACGAGCTCCGACGTCAAGTGAAGCGCTCGTACCGGTCCCGGTGGTTCTCTTACTTCGTTCTTCAACGCTCCATCGACCACGATTCGAGCTTCTTTTCGATTTCTCTCGACGGACAACGAATGCCATCGGTCGTCGGCCAATCTGTAGGAGGTTTGCACGCTGACGGTCAGCGGACCGCTGCCTGCCAAGTACTGAAACTGAATCTGATTCCCGCTGTTTATCGAGATCTTTATGTAATCCGTCGGCCCTTTGCTGTGAATTATTACAGCGTTCTCGACGGTCGTTTTGAATTCAAAATAGATATCGCCGCTGTGACCGATATCAAAGGTTGGTAGGTTGATGGTGGCATCAACGATGCGGAACGTCACTACGTTCTTGAACAAATCTACAATAAAATAAAACGAGATCTGTCTTATCATCGCGCAGGATCGAACGATGCGCTTCGATACGAGGGTGGCTACGAATCTTCGAGTGTAAGTACAAGGAAGATTACATTACGTTACGTTACGTTACGTTATAATAGCTAATGTGCTTTCCAACATGTATACAATACGATTTTACAAGTTTTCAAATGAATCTTACTGATCTGACTACGGCAAACGTCTACGTTGTGTCTTACCTGATCTTACCTTGGTGGTCAACCAAGGTAAATCAGAACCTTACAAACAATTTCAAATAAATTAAATCGGTCGGTTGACACGCGTAAGCTGGAGAGTAGCGGTTCAAACTCACCGTCCCCTTCGCAGATGAGAGGTCCGAGGGTATAGTGGCCCATCTTGTCGTCGACGGGTGTGCCAGTGTCGCCGAACCGTAATTGTTTCACCGGGAGATATTCCTTTTCGGTGATGTCGCCGCTATCTTCGAGGGGACCGTCCAAATCGGAATCGCAGTTGCACCATTTGGTCGGATCCGCGCAATTTCCCAATATACCGCATTCGCATTTACGCGAACCAGGCAACGCACCGCCCCAATAATCCATTTTCTGATTGCTTCTGCTGACCCACCACGAGTTCGGGCGGAAGTACTCCGCTTGTGGCACTGCAATCGGAAAGATTCTGTTCGAAACACGAAGAACGAATCGCACACGGGTCTCCTGCCTACGGAACGATCAATTACCTGGGGAATTGAACAATTTCGAGTGCACGCATTCGTAACTGATCCTCTGCCTGCAACTCGTGGATCGATTGAGGAGAGCCTCGATTTGATCCATGTCCGCGTCGTAGATGATGTCTTGTATGAAGCTACCCGGTTCTTGGAAGCCGTCGACGGGTGTCATGCGGTCGTTGTTGTGTCGCAAGATCGTTCTAACACGTCCGTCCGTGTAGAATTCGCATACCACCGGGAACGGTTTCAGGGGCCCGCTCCCGTCGACATCTATCTTGATGTCCGCTCGCTGATTCACCGAATTTATATTTTTATACGCCTCGCAAGAGAGGGGATTCAGGGAGGTGTGGCACACTGCTCCCGTGTATCCCATATTGGCACAATCGCAGAAGAATTCCTCAGAATTTTGACGGCACAAACCGTTGTGTTTGCACGGGTTCGGGTTGCAACGGTCCATCATCTGACACGCGTCGAACACGATCTCGTTCTTGCAACAGTAATCCTCTTCCTTCCAGTCGGTGGGCAGTTTGTAATTACCATCTATGCTGATCATACGCATGCAACCGACGAAACCGCGGTTGCTCTCCACTCCCGTCATTCCACCGACCATGTAAACAGGTCCGGTTATCATATCTAACATGCGCTTGGTCCTCATCGGAGTCCCGTCGACATTCAGTACCAGGCTGTTCTTAGAGATCGTTAAAATGACTCGGTGCCATTTGCCGTCGTTGAACTTCTCGTCGAAATTGTCCAGGGTCACTTGAGGGTTGGCTTTCGTTTGAATATCGACCTTCAATTTTCCATCCTCCAAAAATAGCTGCGAGAGCGTTACAGATTAGAGATACCGTTTCTGACGCGGGGAACGGACGAATCGTCGTATCAGGAGACAGGTGTTACGAACCTTCACGTGACCCGGGGAAGTGAACTGATGGTACAATATGATTCCCTTTTCCTCGTACGTTCGAAAAGTGAGGGAAACGTTCATGGAAGGTATTCCCTCGTAACCCTTCAGCCTGGCATAGGAACCGTGGGTCAAAAATGTAACGGGGATTATAGGCGGTTCTGGACAACTGTACAGCGTGTTCACTTTGTAGTATCTCAAGTTATCCCCAGTGATTTCGGTCTCCTTCAAATCGTGTATGATACCGGTTGCATTCAGATAAAAGTTCTCGATGCATCCCGTAAAATTCTGATTGACCACTAAGCCCTCTTGCTTGTTGGGCACACCTCCTATGTACAGCTGGTAACAATTTTGTTTCCAATTAATTCGCGTCGCTTGGACGTAGCGAAAGAGAGACGCGCTACTTACCGCTCTGTTTAAATCCAGTCTGAAGAACTCTCCCTTTATCCTTCCCTTGATCAACACCCTGTCCACGGAGAACGAGATGTTCTTTCTGTTTCGCGATATAAGCACATCGTGCCACATATTGTCGTCCAAAAGGCTACCGACCGACAGGCTCGTCATGATACCGGATCCGAGATCTATATTTAATACCATCCTATTGTCCTTCAACTGTAACGCTATGTAATCCCCTTGAGTTCCGCGGGAATACATTATAATACCGTCGGCGTTATTCGTCTTGAAGCGGAAGCGTATAAAATGCCTGTCGGTCTCTATCGGCTCTCTCAACAAATCGTATCGCAAGAGCGAGGAACCGTTGAAAGAGAGGACGTCGGAAACTGCGAACGAATCATTTAAACGTAATGGACATTCTTCGAGAACGCGATACGAGAAGAGGACGCGCATTCCGTACCGTAACTACATCCGTACAATTCTATTCTTAACGATATTCGGTCTCGCCACCGGGTTGGATTTATTCGAACCCATTGCGCGATAATTGGTACTTCGAATTTGTTAAGTTTTATGGTATCACCATCTATGTTACCCTTAAACATCTATGAACAAAAAGAGAATGATTATCAGTATCTTCCAGGATCAAACGAATAAGCACACAGTATTATTTTACGCGACATGGCAGTAGGAGGATCTCCGCGTACAATTAGTTATCCGTTAAACGTTCGTTCCATTTGTTTGCAGCTATATCGATGCTTAGAATTCTAATGTACAGATAAACAAATCGCAAGTTATGTGGCATGCTTTTACGTATATAAATGATGTTAGTAAACGGCATTGTTAATTGTAAGTGCAGAAGCATGAAAGCCGAAATTTAAAGATCGTCGTATATTCGTTCCCCGAGTGAAAGAAGTATAAAGGAGCACGAGGACGAGAAGACAGATAAGAACATATGTAATTGTAATTCCCACTGTACCCAGACCAAGGAAACGCAGTGCTCGATCGAATTAAAAACGTGATTTGTAGAGTAATTGCGTAGATGATTCAATAAAAGTGTACGCGGTTCGTTAGAATCGATATCTCAGTTAATACCTCATCCACGCCATCCTGGCTTTCATAACTGGCCCAGGCTTGGCCATCGTCAGAGTATTGGACAATGTACTCTGTCACGTACTCGTTAGTATGAGCGCGGCCTCGTGTTGCAATGCTTCGTATCTCGCGTCTTTCCCCCAGTTCCACGGTAAGGTGTTGATCGTAACTGCTAAGCTCTGGCGACCACGTGGAATCTCCTGCAAAGCCCAGCCCCATGTCCACGTGTGAGAGAGTACGAGTAGAAGCGAAGCGAGTAAGTGGTATGAGGAAGAAAGCATTTGTTCGAGTAACGATCATTACCCGATCTCATTCGTTTCGATGAATCGAATCGTTTTATAAACTAAATGTACTCGTGACGGTGTCGGGCGTGTACAATATGTAAATGCGTCGAGGAAATTCAGTCGCTGTCTATGCGGTTCTACGGATAAAGAAGCATTCCAAAGGTGTGTGTGTGTGTACGTTTGCGAAAGATTACATGCAAGCGGTACCTACTTAGGAGACTTTCGATAAATCATCCTCTATCGTCATGCCAATATGTACTTATCTAAAATAGCGGCACGCTCCCATTAACACGGTGCCTATGTTAGTCGGTTATCAGTAGGTAGCACTCATTAGTCACAGCGATCAGGTTTGCGAGACAAACTCGCCGATGCATCATGGATACCGCGGTTAGCACGGACTGAGGCGAACAAGTTGGATTTACCTTGACGTTACCACCTTCTTCTTTGTAAGCCACGTAGTCCAGGCCGTTCGTGCCGTAACTGATACCATATTCCATAACATACTCATTGTGTACTGCTCGTCCCTGGGTCGCCACAGCTGTGATGTTCATTACTTGACCCAGGTCGATAATAAGGTACTGATCGAAGTCTGAGCTGCTAGCCGTCCATGCGTTTCCGCCTACGCCACAACATATATACGCATGCATGCAACTCAAAGTGAACTTAAGAAAGCGGTCGGGCGATGGTCAACGAAACGGGGATATCGCGCATCACGGGCTGGTCTAATAACGCGTGACGAGTCGATAAAATCCAAAGGAAGGACCAGTCGGCTCTGTTCGCGGTCGAGCGAGAAGATTTTTACCGTGTCACGACTTCGAACGTTTTCTTGGAAGTGTCAGACTTGTCGTGTGAGAAGAAGCTATGGTGTTACATGTTATTCCTCGCGCGAACTCCCTTCTCCAAGCGAGAGACAGAAAACGTATAAAAGTAACAGAGGTTCGCGTATTCTTTACAAATCTCAAGCGGCGAGAGTTGAACACCACACCCCGCACGTTCCGTGAGAAGGAAAAATAAAATTCGTACACGTGTTTCGAATTTTTATTATACTCACTGACTCAGAACCTCAGTACTGAGAACCTAATTATATCTGTACATCATCGTCACGCGA